CGATTTCAATGAAATTCGGTATATAATATTTCCTTAACATTCTGATGACATGTACCAAATATGGCTGAAATCGGTTCACAACCACGCCTGAAATCACGATTATCACTTTATCATGCGAGAGTATAAAATGTTCGGTGACACCCGAACTTAGCTCTTCCTTACTTGCTTATGATACACTTTAATCGAATATATGTACATGTATGTATTTATGCGTGAGAGTTTGCATGAGGTAAGTTCATTTATTTCAATTTTATACTTTATGAGCATAATGGTTATCAACTAATCAATAATAAGCAGCCAGTTTATTGTAAACATTGAACAAAATATATGTACATATATGCATAGCGCAAAAATGTATGCTGCGAAATTGACTGCAATTGCAGGTGATGTGCGCACTAATAACAATACCTAAACACATGGTACTCTTTAATCAGTGAAATTACATAAAATTTCATTGCGTGAAATGATTTAGTACATTACACACTGTAGCAGCGCATTTCATGATCTTATCTTTCTCTTTATTTTCCAAATTCGTGTGATTCTTTTTATACAATTTTTGTAATAAATCACAACAGGCGTTACTTTAGTCTTCTTACTGTATTAACCACGTTACATATTGCGTTATTGATTTGTTTACACTACTTTCACATTTTCACTACATTTACTCCTTCCTTTTAATTTTTTTCACAACTGAGAAAAAATTAAGCAAATTTTAACAAATTCGATGACATACACATACTTATATATACATATATGAGTATACACACATATGCATGCTTGTATGCACGTACTTGCAGTTTGGTTTTAGGAATTTTCGGTTTTTTTAAGCAAGCAGTTTTCTTCCTTTAAATGTTTGTTACCATACTTTTTCCTATAAATTTTTCACATTTGCCCAAGCCGCACCAGTCACATACAAATTTATTGTGACTATCGAAACGCGAGATATATGCACAGTGATAGCAATAAAAACAGTACACATTTTTCGCGCTCGGCAATGTGGGACCGTTGTTCCCTCACTACTTTTACACACTTTTGTCCTTTACTTTATTTAAATTTTATAGTTATATAGTATATAGTAAGATGAGTTGTATTAGGTTTGGCAGTTTCGTCGCTGCTTTCGGTTACTCGTTCATTCGCTCGCTGTATCTCAATTGTTGTCGCTCAGCAGCACACATTTTATATTTTGCTTAAACGCAATAAATGACAATAATATTAAGACTTAACTTGCGCTTGCACACTCATTTCGGTAGGGACAGTAACGAGCAATGACATCGTCTGTGTGTCAGAATGCACGCATACACTGATTTTGGGTATATGCTCTATGTGTATTGGCACACTATTTTGGTTAAAAGCATCGCAAAATTCAGCAGATAAAATTCTCAACAGCACTTTCTCTTACTAAATCTTAGCTTTGCGCACAGTCCGTAGTGCTTATTACAACATCAAATCGAAACACACAAATTTAATAAACTCATATCAATCAATCTAAGATTATTATGACCATACAGCAGACATAAAATATAATCCAAGTAACGTGGAAGCAACAGCTATAATATTTCACTGCGTTGCCAGATCAGAGAAACAATTTTAGCTAAAGCAGGTTCGGAGTAGAAATTTCAAATTAGTATATGAGTATGTATATGAACTAAATCTTTAGAAAATGAACTATTCCTTCTGCTAGTGGGTTTATATACAATTTTACATTACTTATTTTTGCAGGTTACGACATTTGCCTGTCAATGGTTGTAATACAAACTACAATTAATTATTTTTAACTGTATTGATTTTGATCATATGCAAAAAAATGGTTTAAGATTTTAATTCCGTTTTCATAGTCTTGAAACCAGTTGCTACAGAGTATTATAGTTTTTCTCACGAAAGGGTTGTACGTTTCACCTAAAACTAGAGATAGGGTTATACATATGTGTATATAAATGATCAGGATGACGAGAAAAGTTGAAATTCGGTTGACTGCCTGTCTGTCCGTCTGTGCAACCTGTAATTGGAGTAAAAATTGATAAATCTCGATGAAACTTGGTTAGCACAAAAAAACACTTCCACGCCCACAAATCGCCATTAACCGAAAGTATATAAAGTGCCTTAACTACACTTATGTGCAAACTTTTTTGAAAAAGTGTACATGGCCCTACCTTCTAACAAGGTTAATGTACATATGTATCTCCCAAACCATTTAAGCTAAAACAACATTTGATGAGCACAAATCTTATAAAAACTTCTACCGACAGTGTGAAAATGGATGAAATCGGAAGATAACCCCGTTCACCCGCCATATAACGGTACTGTTAAAAACTACTAAATGCCAATAAATGAATAACTTTGCACGAATCATTTCTTTTAACTTGTGGCACCTTGTAACCACCAGGTACCGAATATTTAGATCCCGTTATATAGATGACATTTGATCGAAAATGTCGGTCAATGTCTGTATGTCAAAAATAGGTTGAATCGAGCAATACTTTTCTTAGAGAGTCAGCGTAAACCGAAAATGCAGCGCTCGTTATAGTTGAATTCTGTGTGAAACTCGATAAATCTGCCATAGAGATGTTAGATATGATCAAACAGGCTTACCCAGATGTTGCTTTAGCAAAAAGTGGTGTGTTTCGGTGGCACCAGGCCTTTTTGGAGGGCCGGAAAAGGTCGCTGATGAAGAGAGTCAGACTAGCGACTTCGACAAAGACCGACAGTGTGACTCGTGTGACCAAAGTTTTTAACTCAGACCGTCTACTAAGTATTCGTTTAATTGCCCAGATGTAAATTTTATCAAAATCTGTGGTTCATGGTATTGTGAGCACTTGAACAAAGTACCCAAAAGTACTCACTGACGACCAGAAATTGCGGCGAAAATTTAAACATGTATGAAAGGCACCCCCAATTTTTGAACAACGTAATCACAGGTGACGAGTCATGGATCTTTGAGTATGATCCCGAGACAAAGAGGCATTTTGAGCCGACAAACGGGATCCAAGCAGCATGCATGTAGGCTCTCAAAGCTAATCCGGACGCCTTAAATGCTTGGAAATCTCGCTGGCAGCCATGCATCGATGCGGAAGGAACCTATTTCGAAAGTTTTTAGTAAAGTTTCAGAGAGCTTGGAAGTGCATTCCTTAAACGCGTTTTTCTCAAAATGATGCTTTTAAAGTCGGTGACCAACATTACTCGAAAACGATTTAGCCGATTAGTCTCAAACTTTCACACGAACTTCTGGAATATATTTTTTAGTAATTACCAAACATTTTTTTATAAACTATTTAAAGCCGGAGTTTTGGTAAAAAGTATTTTATAAACCGTTATTTTGTCAAAGCATCGACTAATTAGAATTAAACATTTCTTTACCGAAATCTGCGTGGTTTTTAAATTTCAGAGGACGCAGCTCAGAGATATAGGGGTCACTGCAAACCGTCTTTTATTAAAAGAGCTCCCGGAGAAAATAAATATTATTACTCCAAATAAATATTTTTACTAGTACTTAGTCCTAAAATACAGTTAAAAGATGCCAAAATGCCAAATGCCAAGATGTATACAAATTCTTGGATGAATAAACTCAAAAGTTTTCTCCAATCTGGAAAATTGGTTTTTGTGGTGTTGGTTGCTTGGATCGGAATTTAATTGTGCTCTGCCCAATACAAAAAAGGGAGACCCCACAATTCGCGTCAACTACCGTGGGATAAGCCTCCTCAACATCGCATAAGGCTTTATCGAGCGTATTGTGTGATAGATTAAATCCCACCGTCAACAAACTGATTGGATCTTATCAGTGTGGCTTTAGACCTGGAAAGTCAACAACCATCCAGATATTCACCATGCGCCAAATCTTGAAAAAGACCCGTGAAAAGAGAATCGGTACACATCACCTCTTCGTCGATTTTAAAGCTGATTTTGAGAGTACGAAAAGGAGCAGCCTTGCAAAACTCTTTCGGCCGTGTAAATAGAAGCGTGAGGATCGGGAAGTACTTCTACGAGCCGTTCGTCTATCAAGGCTTTAGACAATGCGAATGTATTTTGTGCGACTTCTTCAATCTACTCTTGGAGAAAATAATTGAAGATGAAGAGCTAAATCGAGAAGGTATAATCTTCCATAAGAGTGTTCAGCTGCTGATGTATGCCGATGATATTGCTGTCGTTGGCCTTAACAATCGCACCGTTAGTTCTGCTTTTTTCAGACTGGATAAGAAAGCAAAGCAAATGGGTCTGGCAGTGAACGAGGGCAAGACGAAATATCTCCTGTAATCAAACATACAGTCATCGCACTCGCGACCTGGCTCACAGGTGTCTACACCAGTAAAGAAGACGAATAAAGGTTTTTTTTTATGATTAAAATTTGTTTTTGTTCTTTAATCCCGAAATATAAATCGGCGACCCACGTTGATATCGTTCAAAATTTCTTTACGGCAATACAGGTGTTCTAACACGTCTAGTGTCCGTAGATAGTGGAGCTCAGTTTCTCTAATGGGAACTTATCTACATACATCTATTTGCGCTTTATAATATGTAAAGAATGACTGTCAGGCTTGGCAATATTAAACATGGAAAATGAAATGGCACAAATTGTTAACAATGAAATGATATGTCTTTACTACTAATTATAATAATTTCTTTATAATTATGTTCCTTATTAGAGTTTTCAACACAACTGCAGACAACTTTGGTAAAAGTTTTTAATTTCGGCATTATCGATACTAACCGAACCTATCAAAAAAATTCTGATGAAGTGTCAAACTTTAACTTTTTTGTGTTACTACCGTTTTCAACTCTGTGTCAGTTGCGCTGACTAGAGTATCAAATCATTACAACTAAATACCGATAATATAATATAACCAAGCAATTGTAGTTGAGCATTAGTGCATTTTTTAGGAAAAACATTGATGGAAAATGGGTAAAAAAATATTTTATTTATAATTTGGCATCCCTGTGCTTTCGCACGTGTTTACAATTGTGCTGTGTAAATTATTATTAATTATTAAGTTAATTGTTTAAACTAATTGTTTAAACAACCATTATCCACTAAGGGACGACTATTCACGTTCCAGGAAATCATAATTTACACAATAACATTAACAACACCACTAAAAATTGAGTCAACATGCCACCGAAGAAGCCGACCGGAATCACACACTTGTGCAGCGTCTGTTCCACCAACGTTAAATAGAACCAGGCAAGCATACTCTGTGCATCCTGCCGTACCTGGGTTCACCTTAAATGTACGAACTTAACTACGGACGAATTCAAGGGTATAGCTCACTTTAATAAACAAAATGGTCCAACGTGGAAATGTGACCAGTGTATAAGTGAGGTTAGTGTCATTTTTCCAGATTATATTCCAGAAGTCCACGAAGGCGAGGCGGTAACAATGGATAAACTAGAGAAACTCTTTGAGAGAAAACTTCAATCTTACTGTAACACTAGTAGCTCAATTCCAAACTAAACTAGATCAATTCAAATCAGCTATCGAAGGTAACGTGGCCAATATCAGAGAAGAGGTCAGTAACCTTGCTAAGCAAAATAATACATTAATTAATGATTGCTCTCATCTTAACAACAGACTTCTAATGTGGAGAAAACACTTAAGTCTTGTCTGGATATGTCAACATCTGTTGACGACATTTTTGCTGAGATGGCTGAACGTAAAATGTGTCAATCCAACATAATATTGTTAACGTCCCAGAATTTACGAAAGTTGATGGTCTGGAGCGCCTGGAGGATGACGAAACCGAAATTCTCGCTGCATTTCCACCTAGCATTGCTAGTAGTTTACCAAACCTCAAGTTACGGCGACTTGGTCATCCAACAGCTGGTCGCAATCGTCCACTACTTATTGAAACACCGTCACCAGACATAGCACTAAACATTCTTAAGCACAAGCCAGATAATGACACCAGACACAAGCCCAACAGCTCCATTTAAAATATTTACGTGTTGAACTCGATTCAATAATTAAGAGTGGAGATACAACTAAAACCATCAAGTACGTACAGGGAATTCCTAAGATCTTAACAAAAATTTTCGCCCGCTCACTCAGAAGGGTATGCCTAACAAAGCTGGTGATACTGTACCAGAATGTGAGAGGTCTAAGGACAAAAATAACCGAATTCTAAACATCGTCATCGGCCAATAATGCTGACGTTGTTTGTATCACCGAGTCCTGGCTACACCCAGCCATCCTGGATGGGGAAGTCATTGATAAATCCTGCTCAATATTCAGAAAGAATAGAAGCAACTTAACAAGCAATTACACCCGTGGTGGCGACGTTTTCATCGCAATAAAACAACACATCTACGCTGAGCTTATTGTATTACCTGATAACTATCTAGAACTAATTTATATTAAAATCAAGTGCAATAATACGGATCTAATTATCGGGTGCATATATATGCCACCTCAATCAGCGAAGCTTACAAATTACACTGTCAACAACTATCCTATATGAGAAACAAATATAAAAATGCCAGAATCCACGCAATGACTGTGAAAACTTACTATATACCGGATTAGCATCTGCAGGCTGCACACAACGTAATAATGTCCTAAATGAACACCACAATCTCCTAGATCTCTGCTTCTCAAGCATAGATATTAATAACTGTAGCACCGACCCCTCATAACAATGGATAAATAC